TTTTCTGTTGGTATAAAAAAAAGTCCTTCCTTGGTAGTATTAAGGATTATGGGTAGTCTTTGAAACAGGGATTTGGTGGTACATTTGTTGGACCTATATCTCTCTCAGGCCGGATTTTTATGGCACTTTGGAATCCAGTACAAAAGAGGAATGGACATGTTTTCAGGTTTTAGAGTCAAACCAAAAGTTGATAGTACTGATGCATGGTTTTGGCAAATTTCTTCCTCATACTGTATAATGGTTATGTTGTTTGAGGCCTTGTCAGTTTGAACAACTACAAACGTTTCATGTAGGGCAGCTAGACTTTGGATGTCAGCTGGCTGGGACAGAATGGGTTTGTGCATTCTACCAATGACAACATCAAGCGCTGGCCTAACCCACTCTGAAAGACATTCAACAGGTTCCTCTTCTCTCTTGGCCCATTTTTGGCCTATGCTACGACAGCAACCATAATGATTTTAGGCCGTTGCTCACGATATCTTGGTCCACATTTGAATAACTAACGAAGGTTGTCAGCAATAGAGAAGTCATGTGTGATGAAATTACCTACAGGCTGATAGCAGTATGAGAAGTCTTGACAGTCACAAGTAGTGGAATCAGCTGACAAATCAACGTCATACGAGGGGCGTTCAATAAGTTTTGCAACTTCAAGATATGACTAAGTCGCAGAACATCTTTTGCATTTTTATTTTTCAATATAATCTCCATTCACCTCAATACACTTATTCCATTTGTCCTTCAAGCTTTTAATACCACTTTTATAGAAATCCGCAGATTGGCCCTCTTACCACGCCTCTGTGGCAGCCTTTATGTCTTCGTTGTCCTGGAAGCGTCTTCCACGTAAGGCAGATTTCTTTTGCCGGAACAGGAAATAGTCACTGGGGGCTAAGTCTGGACTGTAGGGTGGGTGATTTAACTGTTCGAATCCACATTCACATATGACGGCCTGTACAATTCTCGACATGTGAACCGGAGCGTTGTCATGTAAAAGTAGAATACCACGTGTTAAGATCCCACTGCGTTTTCTGGCGAATAGATTTTCGCAATTCTTTCGTTACATTAGCATAATACTGTCCATTGATTGTAGTTTTTGGGTTGCATGTAATCAATCAGTTACATGCCTCTTGCATCCCCAAATATGGAGGCCATTACCTCTCCCGCCGATGGTTGAGTGCGAAACGTCCTCGGAGGCAGAGAATTGGGGTGCTTCCATTGCATGGATTCCAGTTTAGTTTCTGGGTCCCAGTGGTGGATCCATGTTTTATCACCTGTCACTAGACGAGAAAGAAATCCGGCTTCATCAGCAGTATAGAGATCCAGGAAGTCTCGACAACTTTCAGTTCTCTGATGGCGATCTTGAGCTCTGAGATTTCTAGGTACCCATCTTGCAGATATCTTGGACACACCAAGATGTTCATGAATAATGGTTCCAACAGTTCCAACTGATATTTGGAATTCCCTAGAAAGTTCAGATACTTTCACTCGTCGTCAGACAAAATTCTTCTTTCTATAGCAGCAATGGTTTCCGGTTGGGTGGCATCTGAAGGCCTGTCTGACCTTGGGCCATCGTCTATGGACTCCCTGTCCCTATTAAACTGTGGAGACCAACGGCAAACTGTGGAATAGTCAGGAGCATCCTTACCCATCACTTTACACATGCGATCATGGATTTCTTTTTCTTCGCATCCCTCCTTGTTAAGGCACTTTATTACAGCGCGTTGTTCATGTTTGAGAGAATCCATGATTGTGACCACCCTTAGGTGAATGAAGCCATCACATCTAACTTATTATTGTGTCTGGAACTTGTTATGACACGTGTCAACCTGATGTTATGACTAGTGTCACAGTCGCCACAAGTTCACATTGTTTGTGTAAACACAAATGCCAAAGTTGCAAAACTTATTGAACGCTCGTATAATTGAACAACCTGCTTGGAATGGTGTTCGTGGACGAAAATGAAATTGTTGGTGGTTCCTGAAATTTGAAATATTGTGAGACATTTTGGGGAACTGATTATTGTCTGAAAATGTTACTGAAATTTAAGGCATCAATTCCCTTGTATGCAAATTTCAAATTCATGAACAAGCGGTGATTTAGTGGAGTCTATTTCTGGTTTGTCCAAACGTTTCAAAGTGATATCAAGAACTGTACTCTCTAGTTCCTAGAGCCACCCATGAGCAAAGGCACACGGGTAACGAAGCCAGATATAATGTAAGGAGGAAGATTAAAAGGATTAAACAGTTGTGACAAGCTGATTGGACCCTAATTAAAATAGTATATTGCTTGATTAGATCTTTATAGGCATACGAGATGTAATAGACTTGATATGTGTTGATCAAAGGTTTGTGACGGCTGATTTCTATAGCTTCTGAGAGTTTTCTTTTAGTGAAGTTCTGATGTTTGGTTGAAAGGTTTTTGACTTTGTCAAAGTGAATTTGATGGCTAGGGACTTTTTGCTGGTGGTCTGAGAGGGCTGATTTACTGTCTGCTTTGGCTGTTCTTATGGTCTTTGATGCGGTTATCTACTGGGCGGGTTTCTACTGTACCATTGGCTTCATCCAATTATCTGTGTGCTCCTTGTTATCTATTACCTGTTGCTGCTAATGTTAATCTGCTGCTTATTACAGCATATCATGCATACATACCTCTCATCATTTTGTGACCCGTTCATATCCGGGGTAGAATAGGTCTTCAGCAAACCATACTTTCCGTAAAAGGCGACTATGCTTGTCGTAAGAGGCGACTAACGGGATCGGGTGGTCAGGCTCGCTGACTTGGTTGCTGCAGGTCATCGATTCCAAGAGCGTGGATCGATGCTCATGATATCAATCACTGGATTGTCTGTTCCAGACTCGATTATTTACAGACCGCCGTCAATATAGCTGGAATATTGCTATCCAAAAAGTTGTACGTTTTCTTACTTACTCACCAACTTCTAGATCAAATCAAACAGTTAGATTCTAGGAGGTTGCACGGCAGTGTCGGGATGAGATACATAGTTTCCAAGAGGTTGCACGGCAGTGTTGGGATGAGAGACATAGATTCCAAGAGGTTGCACGGCAGTGTCGGGATGAGATACATAGTTTCCAATAGGTTGCACGGCAGTGTTGGGATGAGAGACATAGATTCCAAGAGGTTGCACGGCAGTGTCTGGATGAGATACATAGTTCCCAAGAGGTTGCACGGCAGTGTTGGGATGAGAGACATAGATTCCAAGAGGTTGCACGGCAGTGTCGGGATGAGATACATAGATTCTAGGAGGTTGCACGGCAGTGTCGGGATGAGAGACATAGATTCCAAGAGGTTGCACGGCAGTGTCGGGATCAGATACATAGTTTCTAAGAGGTTGCACGGCAGTGTTGGGATGAGATACATAGTTTCCAAGAGGTTGCACGGCAGTGTCTGGGTGAGAGACATAGATTCCAAGAGGTTGCACGGCAGTGTCGGGATGAGATCCATAGATTCCAAGAGGTTGCACGGCAGTGTTTGGGTGAGAGACATAGATTCCAAGAGGTTGCACGGCAGTGTTGGTATGAGAGACATAGGTTCCAAGAGGCTGCACGGCAGTGTCGGGATGAGATACATAGTTTCCAAGAGGTTGCACGGCAGTGTCTGGGTGAGAGACATAGATTCCAAGAGGTTGCACGGCAGTGTTGGGATGAGAGACATAGATTCCAAGAGGTTCCACGGCAGTGTCTGGATGAGATACATAGTTCCCAAGAGGTTGCACGGCAGTGTTGGGATGAGAGACATAGATTCCAAGAGGTTGCACGGCAGTGTTGGGATGAGAGACATAGATTCCAAGAGGTTGCACGGCAGTGTTGGTATGAGATACATAGTTCCCAAGAGGTTGCACGGCAGTGTTGGGATGAGAGACATAGATTCCAAGAGGTTGCACGGCAGTGTCTGGGTGAGAGACATAGATTCCAAGAGGTTGCACGGCAGTGTCTGAGTGAGAGACATAGATTCTAAGAGGTTGCACGGCAGTGTTGGTATGAGAGACATAGATTCCAAGAGGTTGCACGGCAGTGTCGGGATGAGATACATAGTTTTCAAGAGGTTGCACGGCAGTGTTGGGATGAGAGACGTATTTCCAAGAGGTTGCACGGCAGTGTCTGGGTGAGAGACATAGATCCCAAGAGGTTGCACGGCAGTGTCGGGATCAGATACATAGTTTCTAAGAGGTTGCACGGCAGTGTTGGGATGAGATACATAGTTTCCAAGAGGTTGCACGGCAGTGTCTGGGTGAGAGACATAGATTCCAAGAGGTTGCACGGCAGTGTCGGGATGAGATCCATAGATTCCAAGAGGTTGCACGGCAGTGTTTGGGTGAGAGACATAGATTCCAAGAGGTTGCACGGCAGTGTTGGTATGAGAGACATAGGTTCCAAGAGGCTGCACGGCAGTGTCGGGATGAGATACATAGTTTCCAAGAGGTTGCACGGCAGTGTCTGGGTGAGAGACATAGATTCCAAGAGGTTGCACGGCAGTGTTGGGATGAGAGACATAGATTCCAAGAGGTTCCACGGCAGTGTCTGGATGAGATACATAGTTCCCAAGAGGTTGCACGGCAGTGTTGGGATGAGAGACATAGATTCCAAGAGGTTGCACGGCAGTGTTGGGATGAGAGACATAGATTCCAAGAGGTTGCACGGCAGTGTTGGTATGAGATACATAGTTCCCAAGAGGTTGCACGGCAGTGTTGGGATGAGAGACATAGATTCCAAGAGGTTGCACGGCAGTGTCTGGGTGAGAGACATAGATTCCAAGAGGTTGCACGGCAGTGTCTGAGTGAGAGACATAGATTCTAAGAGGTTGCACGGCAGTGTTGGTATGAGAGACATAGATTCCAAGAGGTTGCACGGCAGTGTCGGGATGAGATACATAGTTTTCAAGAGGTTGCACGGCAGTGTTGGGATGAGAGACGTATTTCCAAGAGGTTGCACGGCAGTGTCTGGGTGAGAGACATAGATCCCAAGAGGTTGCACGGCAGTGTCTGGATGAGAGACATAGATTCCAAGAGGTTGCACGGCAGTGTCTGGGTGAGAGACATAGATTCCAAGAGGTTGCACGGCAGTGTTTGGGTGAGAGACATAGATTCCAAGAGGTTGCACGGCAGTGTCGGGATGAGATACATAGTTTCCAAGAGGTTGCACGGCAGTGTTGGGATGAGAGACATAGATTCCGAGAGGGTGCACGGCAGTGTCTGGGTGAGAGACATAGATTCCAAGAGGTTGCACGGCAGTGTCGGGATGAGATCCATAGATTCCAAGAGGTTGCACGGCAGTGTCGGGGTGAGATACATAGATTCCAAGAGGTTGCACGGCAGTGTCTGGGTGAGAGACATAGATTCCAAAGAGCTTGCACGGCAGTGTCGGCGAAGAAACACATAGATTCCAATCGTCTCGTTTAATGTTTTCAGATGTGCTCACATCAACTTGAACTTTCTGGATAGGTGTGAACAAGTCTGTAGACGTCCTAACGAACGGCATGGGAACGCAAACGTAAGGCAATATGGCAGATTTTTGAGTGGGTCTGTAAAGATATGGGGCGGGGTCACTATGACTGACAGAACGCCCCTTCATAGTGTCTTTGAAAGCGTCATTGGACAGTACCACCGAGACAACATATTGTTTTGTTGGTTTGTTGTTTAACGCCGCACTTAGCAATATTCTAGCTATATGACGGCGATCTGTAAAAAATCAGGTCTGGACCAGGCAATCCAGTGATCGACATCATGAGCATCGATCCACGCAATGGGGATACGATGACATGCATCAACCAAGTCAGCGAGCCTGACAAACCGATCCCGTTAGTCACCTCTTACGACAAGCATAATATGGGTGCAAGCATGGGTTGCTGAAGACCTATTCTACCCCGAATCTTCACGGGTCGACAACATATTGGCGCCAATAGTTGTGCAGTTTGCGTGCTGTGCTTGTCTACGTTTTGTCTTTCAAGACGATGAGTGAGTGAGTATGGTTTTACGCCGCTTTTAGCAATATTCCGGCGGGAATTCCATGTCGGGAATCGAACCCGGATCTTCGGCGTGACGAGCTAACGCTTCAACCACTAGGCTACCCGACCGCCCCTCAAGACGATGACGCTCGTGCCCACCGCGCATGTATCGTACGAGGCTCCCTCCAGCAGCCAAACATCACCAAGATGCAATGGCCAGACATGAGTCCTGACCTTTCCCCTTCAGAGCACGTCCTTTAGAGACGTGGACGTCGGCGTCAAAAGGCCACCCATTACCGGCCCGAACTGGGCCAACGATGCAAGCAGAGTGAACATACTCCCTCAAATTGTCATTGGGAGATTGATTTGGACCATGCCACGCCGTAGAAACGAATGTTTGACCAATCGTAGGGGCATGACCCATTATTGATCAAGTCATCTCATAGGTTTGCCATACTACCTACCCTGCCTTCATTCTTGGTTGTTTGCACCCTAACAATATCCCTCCAACGTGTTCCGTTTTTTGTCATGTTCCACCGAGTTCTTCCCTTTTCTTATCCATCCATTACCAACACTCGATACCTCTTTGCATTTTTGTTATTTTAGAATATATATTACCAAATCACCCGATATCAGCCCTGATTTTTATGTCAGAAATTACAGCACAGAAAACCCCCATAACCCCCATCTGTATACTGGATTCACATCCCGGCAACCCCCATCTGTCCTGGATTCACATCCCAGCAACCCCCACAACCCCCATCTGTCCTGGATTCACATCCCAGCAACCACCACAACCCCCATCTGTCCTGGATTCACATCCCAGCAACCACCACAACCCCCATCTGTCCTGGATTCACATCCCGGCAACCCCCACAACCCCCATCTGTACTTGATTCACATCCCGGCAACCCCTACAACCCCAATCTGTACCAGATTCACATCCCAGCAACCCCCACAGCCCCCATCTGTCCTGGATTCACATCCCGGCAACCCCCACAGCCCCAGTCTGTACCAGATTCACATCCCGGCAACCCTAACAACCCCCATCTGTCCTGGATTCACATCCCGGCAACCCCTACAACCCCAATCTGTACCAGATTCACATCCCGGCAACCCCCACAGCCCCAGTCTGTACCAGATTCACATCCCAGCAACCCCTACAACCCCAATCTGTACCAGATTCACATCCCAGCAACCCCCACAACCCCCATCTGTCCTGGATTCACATCCCGGCAACCCCCACAGCCCCAGTCTGTACCAGATTCACATCCCGGCAACCCTAACAACCCCCATCTGTCCTGGATTCACATCCCGGCAACCCCTACAACCCCCATCTGTACCAGATTCACATCCCGGCAACCCCCACAACCCCCATCTGTCCTGGATTCACATCCCGGCAACCCCCACAACCCCAATCTGTCCTGGATTCACATCCCGGCAACCCCCATATGTACTAGATTCGCATCACGGCAACCCCCATCTGTACTGGATTCACATCACGGCAACCCCTACAACTCCCATTATTCACACGTGTACTTCTCTGCACAGATTCAAGAACGCATGCATGGTATTAGGCGACAAGACACTCTGAATCGTATCCTTTACACATTCTTCCAGGAAGTGTCAGCATAACCCAACATTCCATCAATACTGCCCTAATAGTTTCTAAATGTTAAATATGCTATTTTTAAGCTTTCATACAACCTTCGGTATTTCAACTTGGAAATTGCTGATTTTACATCTCTGAATGCACGTCATGAATTGCCTTCTTATGTTCAGTTAATCTGAGAGAGATTGCGGAGCTAGTATTTCAATCTTTGTGGAGAAATTGGAGAGTGAGTGGGTGAGTGAATGCGATATACGCTGGAGTCTATTAGAGCAGCATCACGGCAAGAATTATTCACATGTTGTACTCATGTGGGGATTCGAACCCGGGTACTCGGCCTGACGAACCCACACTGTATCCCAAACAATAAAGAAAGACTTGGTAGTGCCGTGAGTGAGTATGGTTTTACGCCGCTTTTAGCAATATTCCAGCAATATCACGGCGGGGGACACCAGAAATGGGTTTCACACATTGTACCCATGTCGAGAGTCGAACCCCTGTCTTCGGTGTGACGAGCTAACGCTTTAACCACTAGGCTACCCGACCGTCATACTGGGTAACAACAAGTTACTGTTCAATACTGTTCAAAGAGGCTTTCATCCAAACTCACTCACTCAACTAGAGCCCTAAAATCACACCCAAACCCAAACACAAAACGAGTTTCCATGTATCCAATACAAAAGAATATGGTCATCAAGACATTAGTTATGCTGCATCTAGAACATCTTGAAAATGAAGCGACAAAACCCTTTCCATATCCAATAGAAATATCTGCATAAAGCAGTCGATTGTACGATTCCGACTATATCTTGAGCATGTGTTTATGAATCACTATCAAATAGTGATGATACCAAGTGTTTGTGAAAAGGTGAGCGTATCCTGCCCTGAAAATAATGTCATCAGATTTTGCTTACTAATCACTTTTATTGTACATCAGTCACATATTCTCCAGCCTCCTGAAGTAGGAAAACTGTTAGTGTTATTAACCGTGTCTGTTCAACATCTACAGCATGGCTTCTTATGTAACATAACGGAAAAGTAGACTGACACGTTTTTCTCTTAAACAACCGATCACCAGTAATCGTATCGGCTGGATACTGGCTTGGCTTGCTTTACGCCTGCAAATGCAAGACATTAAACTTTGAAAGTAACGAGACGTTAGCAATAAACCAGAGTTATTAAAGCATTGCCACGCTACGAACTACCTGGTTGCATTCACCGAACGTTTTTCTGTGTGATCGGGCCAGAAGCGGCGTTAGACCCAACTCTCTCGTTCAAGTTGTTTCAGAACCCTTTAATTTGACAAAATTTTCAGTGTTCAGTTACAATTTTCATTTCAATATTCACCGAGTGCGCGTTCCCTGCATCTGATATAATATGCTAATTGTAACAATGTTCAAGATTGACGACCAACACAATAACAATATTTCAACACGGTGAAGCTGATTGTCCGGAGGGATGCCCGCCAGAGAATGACGCTCGGTCAAAATATCATGATTTATGACATGCGAAGACATTAACAGGACAGGGACAGTCTGGAACATTTTGAGAACCCCCTTTAGTCTTAAGTATCAACTGAGACCTCTCATGTATGTGTACATTAACAAGAGTAGAGAGTCGATTGATAAACTGACGTGTAATAATGCACAATCTCTCCGGGCCTATAAAATACTGGTGCTGCATATACTAAACACAATGGAGAGCAGGAAGTGCTGCATATACTTAACACAATGGTGAGGAGGAAGTGATGCATATACTTAACACAATGGTGAGGAGGAAGTGATGCATATACTTAACACAATGGCGAGGAGGAAGTGCTGCATATACTTAACACAATGGTGAGGAGGAAGTGCTGCATATACTTAACACAATGGTGAGGAGGAAGTGCTGCATATACTTAACACAATGGCGAGGAGGAAGTGCTGCATATACTTAACAAAATGGTGAGGAGGAAGTGCTGTATATACTTAACACAATGTGAGGAGTGAGTGCTGGATATACTTAACACAATGTTGAGGAGGAAGTGCTGCATATACTTAACACAATGGTGAGGAACCCTGTGATGACGAAGAATTGTACTATGGCAGCGAATATCCGTTGTGAAATTATTATAACCGAAAAAGAGACGATTGTATCCGCAGTAAATCCACTTGAATATGTCCGCGCAGGGAGATATGTATTTTTTTTAATCTCCTATCGTATATTCTCTCAAACGGTTATCTGTGTAACAATGTTACGAAAAATCGATGCTCATATAGATCCTCCAGGGAAGTTCTGCTTGTGGACATTTGCACTGTGTGCACATAAGAAATCAGTAGCCGTCACTCGCGTGTCATTACCGATCAGGGAAATGGGGAAATACTACCTCGGAATACCGTGTGTACTTAAATAACCGCCCGCATCCTGTGTGCCATGCCAAGAGACACGAAACATTGACATTGCTGATTTTAGTTTATTTTTATTGATTTAGAGAGTGGACATTCGAGATATTGAACAGTTCCTTTGTTTTACAAAAGTCGGTGGTGTATTTATGACAACGTACATTTGGTTAATGTATGGTTCAATGGTGAAATCAACCTCTTGAATTCGGAAAAAAACAATAATTTTGTTTGCAGGGTCTTCGTGATGGCATATTATAAACTCGTACTGATTTTAAATAATAAAGATTTCGACTAGAACGAAATTCGAAACAGTTGTCACTGATGTATTATTATTCATGAAAATTGACGATCAACAGTTCGTATCCCAGATTTGTCCCGATTGTACTCCTTGATCTGTGAGCACCTGTCCAGGGTTGTAAACGTCCGAGACATACGTCATTAACGCAGGCACAACTGACCTGGGGTACGTTAGATCAGGCTGCTGACACAATACTGAGGCCACGTTTAATGTTAATAAAGACGCCAAACCCTTTCCATATCCAATAGAAAGTTCTGCATTACGCAGAGTTGATTGTACGATTCCGACTATATCACGAGCGTGTGTTTATGAATCACTATCCACTAGTAATGATACCAGGTGTTCGCGAAAAGGTGAGCGGATCCTGCCCCACCTGTGGCCCCTCACAGTGAGTGAGTATGGTTTTACGCCGCTTTTAGCAATATTCCAGCAATATCACGGCGGGGGACACCTGAAGTGGGCTTCACACATTGTACCCATGTCGAGAATCGAACCCGGGTCTTCGGCGTGACGAGCTAACGCTTTAACTACTAGGCTACCCGACCGCCCCTGCCCCCTCACAAAACCCGCATGAAATCAGTAAATGGCGGTGGAGGAGTCGGATATATTCGAGAACGGGGAGAACAGATGCAGGGGGGACACGTGATGTAATTCCCCCTAACCCTGTCGGTGACTTGCAGGCTCCACGGCCCACTTCTCCACACATTGTATTGTAAATGCAGCTCTAATTCCATGGGACAGGTCTATTCAAGCCATCTCAGCTCCGACGGCTGTCAGTATTTGACAAGATTTGTTTTTTGTCAGAGCTGGTCTACTCTTTAAAAGTGTTTGTAGACCTTATACACCAGGTGTCTGATAAAGTACATATGGGTGACAAGCTTGTAGCCTTCTTCGTCAGATATCTGATAAGGTACATGTATGTGACAAGCTTATAGACCTTGTACACCCGGTTTCTGATAAAGTACGTATGGGTGACAAGCTTTTAGCTCTTGTACAGCCGGTTTCTGATAAAGTACGTATGGGTGACAAGCTTTTAGCTCTTGTACACCCGGTTTCTGATAAAGAACATATGGGTGACAAGCTTTTAGCCCTTCTTCGTCAGGTGTCTGATAAGGTGTATGTATGTGACAAGCTTATAGACCTTGTACCCCAGGTTTCCGATAAAGTACATATGGCTGACAAGCTTGTAGACCTTGTACACCCGGTTTCTGATAAAGAACGTATGGGTGACAAGCTTTTAGCCCTTCTTCGTCAGGTGTCTGATAAGGTGTATGTATGTGACAAGCTTATAGACCTTGTACACCCGGTTTCTGATAAAGTGCATATGGGTGACTTACGAACGGTGGGGATAAGGCAGGTGCTTGCTGTAGCCCTTGAACATCAACTTTTGCTCCTCTTTTCGCGAACCTCTGGTATCATTTCTTCACAGTGATTCAAAGTAAAAAAGTCAAGTCAAAATTAGTTTATTTGTGTGTAGGCCTTTGACCCATATACAAGAAATGCAATGCCAGTAATACAATGTGAAGCACATTACATTAATTTTCCGAATTCATGTCTTTTTTTGTATGCATAATATACATAGTATTGCAGACGTTTTAATAACTCATCCTGAGTTGTACACAATAATTTTTTTAATTTATATATAGTTGGAAATTTCCAATACAATTCTGGCAAATAAACTTTACGCAGTTCAGTATAATTTTACAGATCAATACGAAATGATATTCATCTTCAACAGACATTGCAAACAGGACACATACAGAAACATGATTCAATAGATTGCCATCTACCCTCGTTCTGTCGTTAAGGTAAAACATTACATCTTAGTTTAATAAAAACATTACAAAATACATGTTTGCTCTTGTAAATATTCAAATATATTTCAGGTTCCAACAATGTTTTATATTCTTTATACATCACATATCGGGTACTACTGTTGAGTGTTGACATCCAGTTTTGACGAAATTCATCTACAAGACATGTTTTAAATACCCCAATGAAAGCTACATTATCCCCAACAGATTGGTTTAACCATACAAATCCAAAACCATGCGAAATTTAATGTTACTGTAACAGTGCTAAAATTGCTATATTTTATTCAACTTTTTGTGAAATTCGCCTTCAATTCATAAGTTGTCGGTTAACCATTTAAGACCTGTTGGTACATACTAGCGATAAGAAATTGCATAACAACATCTGGCACTTCAGATTTACGCCGCCACGATCAGGTCGGCGGGCGAGGCTTTAATTACATGTTGAATAACAACTAGTAGTGGTCAGCGCGTTCGGCACTTACCAGTGTACCGTTATCAGCTATTTAGCGTCAACTGACCAAACTAGAAAATTG